GGAAATTTCCTCCCTGGAGCTGAGGTCTTTGATGCGGAAATCACCGGGGCAGTACGAGGCCTAGAGGCAGCGTTAGAAATTGGTGGCAGCATAGATATCAAGGTACTCCTTGACAATCAAGAGGCGGTCAGAGCCCTTCAAAATGGCAAAACAAATTCCTCGCAAGTAGAGGTCATGAATTTCTGGGAACTACGCAAGACTCGGCCATCGATAGAGGTCTACTGGGTTCCGGGACATAGCGGCATTCCAGGAAATGAAAAGGCCGATGCGATGGCAAAGGCAATCCTTACGTCAAATAATCTGGATGGGAACATACCGGGACCAGAGTGCATCTGGGAGGAAACTCACGAAGTTTTGACTTTTGCAGCTCTCAAACGCCAAGTCAACATCCAGGTATAAAAACTTGCGGAAGAATGTTGGCTTAAGAACAGATCGAGTAGGTATGAAGATCTGGACCTACTGATGCGGAGAAAACGCCCTCCAGAGCTAGCTCTACCTCGATGGGCATATCACCGCCTCATCGCAGCAAGGACTGGGCATGGTGACTTCGCTAGCTATCATAGACGGTTCCACCACCAGAATGAAGAAATGCTTTGAAATTGTGGCAGAGAAAAGCGGCCATGGTGTTTTGCAGAGTGTCGCCCGACTATCCAGAAATGGAGGACGGAAACAAAAGAACCACGTCCTACGATTAGGAATATGATAGGGCAGGAAGGATGGCAGAAATTCTGGCGTTTCATAACTATAACAAAGTGTTACAGCAAGTTTGAATCGTGAATAGGGGATGTAAAGGTCAACTATAATGCTTCTTGGCACCGTTCGGTGTAGTACGAGAATTAAGGTGTAACGCAGGGCGCTAGCACATTAGAATTGGTGTTTTTATTTTATTTTAGTTTTGTGTTTAGATTTCTACGAAACAATGATGTAGGTAGCGAAGAGTCGTATAAATCTGGACTACCCGTGCCATGCCCTCTAGGTGCTGGGGTAGTACCCGGTCACGATAAAAATATCATCATCATCCTTCCCTTTGCTTGTAGCCTTGCCCATCTCCACGCATCCAAGAGACTGACAAGGTTCGTTTTTTGATCGAGAGCTCTTGGGCGGACTCTCGTGTTGTCCGACATGGCTTTGGGACGCTATTTTCGAACAGGCGGTATGATAAGAATGCAGGAAACTCGATTTCAACTTTCGAATTTATGCGATGAGTGCTAGAAGGGGTAGAAGGGGAAAATGGGATTATACGAAAATTGGCAGGAATGGTGGCACCGGTCATGTGTCATAGCTAGATAGCTGCATACACATTGAGTGATCTAGAAAATGTTGAAATTATGGAGTTCAGAGATGAGTCAGGTGATGCTCAATGGAAGTAATTGATGAAGGGTTCGGTTGTTGAGTTTTCTATGATTTCTGTGGAGGGCAAGACTGAACACCTGTACGCGGTGTCCTCTACGAACCTGGGAGTGAAATATTCTCCCAGAGCCAAGTTCAGTCAAATTTCGCAATATGAAAGAAGTTGGCCAACGAGACAAAGTTTAAAATTACTCCACCACGTCGTCTTTCCGCTCCCAATGAGTTTGACGCCTACATAAGTCTCATCAAGTCTACAAGTACGACCTAGTACATCCTCATCCCAATGACCACACCTTTCTTCGACCTTCTCTGGTCTCAGTTGACCACCAAATACACGCCCACGCCGATATTTATACCCGACGGAGGAAGCAAAGCGTGGCGCACAAATCTGGGAAACAGTTCTTCGGGATGGACGTGAGAGGGAGATGGAGTGAAATTCCGAATTTTGGCAAGCAGTTTTACGAATTGAGCTTTGTGCGCGCCAAGACTTCGCTTGCGAGAGTGCAACTGACACTATAAACACAAGCCAACGATGGAAGGTGTTGTGGTCCGCCTCCTGGTGGTGTTCTCCGGTATAGTCTGAGTAGCCTGGGCACCTACTCCACTTGGGAAGGAGACGCCTCAGACCATATTTCGCACGGAGAAAAGTTGAAAGATGACGGAGGCATGTCTGGATAACTCAGGGTTTTTGAGACGTTCCCCTGGGTGGGTATTCACGGATGAGGGTTGACTTGGGGTGAAGAAAAAGCCACCATAACTTCGCAGTGGTACTTGCAAATGAAATCCGAGGCATGAGTGCTCTTCCTTTACGTTGAATCATCTATTCTGTACTCTTCTTTGATACTGTGTCATAGCTAGATAGCTGCATACACAATTAAAATCTGATGCAAAAAAAAAAAAAAAAGATTTCTGTGTTGGGATACACTATGTCGATCCTACTAGGCTCGATAATTAGTAGTCCCGACCGACTGGTGTTTGGCGAACGGAGATTGCGTATACCCTGTGCTAGCGTTGTTTACTGCTGTTAATAGGAGATCCCGCACGGGCTATCTATTGGGGTTAAAAGGAGTCTGGTACCTGTGTTTAATAGAGTAGTCGAATTGACATCCTTTTATCCTTCATTATTGCATAAGCTTCCCTTCACCAACAAAGCCCACGAACTAAGTAGTGGGTTATACATTTCAATAGAAAATATATATATCAACTAGTCTATTTTAGTAGTGGTCTACAGGTTGATGTAGCGAACAAAGATCTATCACTTATCATAAATCTGGTAACCTCTCGCTGGCATTGAATGCGTGCACCGCGTGCACGCATTCTAATTATTAACATGGAATACGCATTGAAAACACCGGTGGCACTAATAATTGCATTAACAGAACTGTGAGTCGGGCTTAATCAACCAACATTTTGAAGATATAGTCTGGAAGGGGGGAGGCGTCTTTTCTTTTCAACTTCTCTTCATTTGAGGTTTTTAGGAGTAGATGATGAAATACCTAGAACGGCTGTGTTTTTTGACTCAGATTATATTCAGCTATTTAGATATGAGAATAGAGAAAGCTTGCGTTGTTGTTATTGAAAAGAACGTCTTCTGGATTAAGCTGGCCCATCTCATAGTAGCAGGACATCTGGCTATATTTTTTTGAGAGCCCTTACCCTAACCAAAGCGGCTTACCGTCGCGATATTTGGTAAAATAGATACCGAATACGAAATTCAGCGGAAATAAATTCAATTCAACGTGAATCCTTGGATTCGTCACATCAATAGTATCTAGTGGGGAACTATTCTCAACACCTGTCAGTGGTGTCCCCTACGAACCTCCAGCTCTCACTGTAAAGTCTGCAAAGTCTGCAGAGCCGAGATTGGGTAACAAAGTCCTCACTTCGTCGAGGATTCCCAATCGCTTTTGCCGTCTGTATCGTCTTCATCTCTCAACACATTCCCCTATCACCACTATCATGAAGCTAACCACGATCAGATCAGATGGTAGGATCAGAGCCCTACTCATCACCAATCCTTGATCATGGAGGAGAAGCCATCCGATGAGTTTCCGGGGCGTACCCAGCACCCGATAAGGAGATGACGGATTGGATCAAGTCGGTCTCGACTGTTACAAAGAAGGGAGATATAGATGGATATGCGCACCTCGTATGGTCCCGGTGTCTAGGCCTCGCCTGGCTGGGGCAGCAGCTTTTTTGTGACTTTTTCCGGCGCACGTAGTTTCCATTGCTTCCATTTTTTTTATTTCTGCGTAGAAGGTTTTGTGGAAAAGGTGACCAAATTCCACAGGTAAATATTGAGCTGAATGGCTATTCATCAAGGGCAATATATCAATGATCTTTCGAATAACATGAGAGGTAAGGAGCACTGTACAAGGTGTGACCTGGGTCAGAGAGGAGCCCAATGTGCTAGATAGTCATAGCCTCAAGTAGTGCAATAAAAACATAGACAAGACAGTATCTAGTCCAATGGGGCTCAAAGCAGTATTGCAGTTCAGATAAAAAGTGAGCACATTGGTCTCAATTCTTATCTGTATCGAAGGAAAGTCCCTGCTGTGATTAATCCAAAATGCCAGTATGGATGTCCGTCTCAAAATGTCAAACATATCGTCTCGGCGTGTGCCCAGTGGGCAATGGGAAGAGGAGAGGTGCTTCGAAAGTCAAAAGATGGTTCATTTGCGGCAATGATGAACAGCCTATATGATATGGAGATGATTAAAAAATGGATCCTGGCAAAAGGCTGGTTAGAACAATTCTGGCTTGCAGGAGAAGTAGAAATAGCATTGGAAGAAAAGATGAGACGATGTGAACAAGGATAAGACGGAATTCACACCGCATCAACAATGTATGAATATTCTAAACGCACTTCCTGTAGGAACCCTCAGAAAACCAATAGGCACGAGACAGACAGTGTTGGGGGGCTATTACCGTATTTGGTTTCCTCCTGTGTAGATATTATGGCTAGATATACCTGAACGGGCTTAATGAAATCAAATCATATACCTGATTCGAATCCCGTATTCCAAGCGACAGAGACATCTTGTAATGCTCCATGTAACGCTAGCATCAGGTGATGTGTACGACCAGGCTCGCTCTAGACTATCGTTGGCCGTCACAACGAATAACCTATTCACAACAGGTGGATTATTTATCTGACTTTAAATGCAGTGAAAGTCAAACTCTAGTTAACTTATGCATAGAGGCCAACATTAAGCACAACACCCGTCACCCGCCACTCATTCTGTATTTGAAATGAAGAGCTATTATTCAGGTTGGTTCATTGATTAACTTACATAACCACAGGCATACTTCAAGCTTTACTGCTGACTATTGGCATTTGCTAACACAGATATTACGGGCAGAATGTTCGTCCGTCTACCTTAGATGGGCGCTCGAAAGTTGAGCTTGACCCCACCAAATAAAGCTTAGTCCGGCCAATGGCACCTACGAAATTTTTGAATGTCACGTCATCAATTTGCTTTAAAAATTAGGACAGGGGTTTCCCGCAGGTCAGCTTCTTACCTTAATTTGTCACGGGCACGCAAAGTACCACATCAATCATCTCTAGCTTTCGAAATGCCCTTCACATGAGAGGATCCAACTGCTTTATTACTCACTACTAAACTAGAAGAGTTTGTCGGCAACTACTCATGCCCGCTGCTCATGGTCGTGATGTCTCATCCTCGTCCCACGGCCACAAGACGGACGGGGCTCGTAGATGCCACAACAGTCCTGACATGTATCCTTCAAATAATACAAGTCTAGCCTTAAAATCCAAGGAATACGATAAGCAAAGTTTAGGATATCTATGGCGGTCAGGAATGGCGGGTGGACTTGCGGGGTGTGTGGTATTAAGTTCCTTCATTAAATATCGATAAAGACTACTCACAGGCTTGACAGGCTAAAACCATTGTAGCTCCCCTCGATCGGGTCAAGATACTATTTCAGGCATCAAATCCTCAATTCATGAAATATTCTGGGAGCTGGATTGGGGCTGCAACGGCAATACGTGAAATTCGGACCGTCGAAGGATTTCGTGGCTTATATCGTGGCCATTCTGCCACCATTTTCCGAATATTTCCATATGCAGGCATAAAATTCCTTGCTTATGAACAAATTAGGTCTATTCTGATTTCATCGCCAGCGCAAGAAACTCCCACACGAAGATTGGCGAGTGGAAGTTTAGCTGGAATCGTAAGTGTGTTTTTCACCTACCCCCTCGAAGTCATACGTGTTCGACTTGCTTTCGAAACTAAAAGCAGTACACGGCCAAGCTTCATAGGCACATGTAAAAGAATTTACGGAGTCTCGCCGACATCAATCCGATCAACTGCGCCACCAAGGAATGCTCTGTCTAATTTTTACAGAGGCTTTTCGGTAACGGTTCTTGGGATGCTACCGTATGCTGGAATTTCTTTCCTGACCCATGATACAGCCGGTGATATTCTTAGATCGCCCATTTTAGCACCTTACACGGTACAAACTAAATATAATCATTCACTCTCGACAAAGCCACCCCCCCTTCACTCGTGGGCTCAACTTTTAGCAGGCGGACTGGCTGGTCTTATATCACAGACCTGCGCGTACCCGCTAGAGATCATGAGAAGACGCATGCAAGTTGGAGGAGCAGTAGGAGACGGGCATCGTCTACGCATCAATGAGACCTTCAGTCTTATTTTCAAGGAAAATGGAATAAGAGGTTTTTGGGTCGGCCTAACAATTGGTTACGTGAAGGTGGTGCCCATGGCCGCAGCGAGCTTTTATGTCTATGAGAGAGCTAAGACTTGGTTCGGCATTTAATCTTGATATCGTTAACTTACAGCCAAATTATGGACTGGACAAAATGTTCAATATAAATTAACTGTAGGGAAAAGAAAAAATGTCTGAGCCTGGATCTGATTTCCTAATTATTTCTGATTTGAGCACCCTCCTGATATTGCCGCGTTAGCAACACGTCACAGCTCCTAATGTCCTTACGTGCCTTTTCTGGGATCGGGTCTTTTGGCATGTACGTCGATGACCTATTCTGTCAGCTATTGAGTTGATTTGTGCAACGTCCCAAAAGGAATATTGTGGCATAAGAGCTTTTGCGTCAGGGGTAAACAAATGACATTTCTATCTGAATAATTGGTGTATGATTCATGTAAATCATGTATATTTCGTTCATCCATAGCAATAGTAATATTATCATCCAAATTACAAGTAAGATTACTGCCGAAATCATTCGCTGGCTTTTTACTGGGAAAGTCCGGCGTCAAGGAAATCCCAGGCTAGGTTGTCCTCCGTTTTGTTGATTATGATGATGGGGCAGAGCAGATCGAATCATGAAATTGACGAGACACCACCCGCGCAACAATGCAGTCCAATATTCACCTCTGTGCTACGGTATTTCCTCGCTTTCTCGAAGAGTAAAATCTGAAGTAACCCTGGTATAATATGTTAAATATACCTAGTGTCTCTCAGGTAGATCATAGAAGTCCTCTATAGTCATAGACTCAGGTAGGACTATAATTTTTGCCACGGCAGTTTCTCCAGATTCTTTTGTCTCGTTTCGTTTAAGGGACTCGCGACCGATAGAAGAGATGAGGGGTCAGAGAGGATCAGGAAAGGCAGGAGATACGGATTCTAGATTCATACATAATTAGATTTTACAATTTGAAGTAGAAGCCGCTGCATAAACTCTGCTCACTTTTAGCCTCATTATTACTTACCAAAGCCTTTGGATCAGCTATAAAGACCCATTGAGGTCTCTTGACAGGGTCATCCGACAAGGAAAATCAGGAGGGAAGAGATTAAGTTTCAGGGGAGCCGGATGAACTACATTGATAGGTACTGTGTGACTGAGAGAAAACCTGCAGCAGAGTGTATTTTATATATTTCTAGTTCAAATATTTTTTGCTTATTGCATCTCAAGTATTCCGATGCGAAATCGAGCTATGGCTTTGATAACTTTTCCGAACTTGCATTGACTAATTCACTCCCAAAACCTAACAGCCTTCATCTCAAAGTCTATTTCTCGATGAAGACAATGAAGCTAATAAACACAAAGTTCCCACCAGCCTACCAATTCCCATGTCCGGTAAACGCCTGTATCCATAAAAAGCGAGATAGAGCAAGTGAAGAAGATTTATCGTTAGTCTCCTATTGCGGATTTAATTATGATTATTATTACTAGCCTGCTTTTTTTGCGCAGGTTGGATTTTCGTAACCGTAGAACTTTTTAGAAAAAAAGAGTACATCTTGTTATACGTCGCGGTAAAATAGAATAGTAGCGTCAAAATCTGGTTTAATATTAAATTTTCCATTAATCTTCCTCCAAAGGGTGCAGGGTTGGAATCTTTCCTCTGGTTGGGCTTCCGGTGCGACTTCTCCTACCAGCTCCTACAGCCTGCCGACTGCTATTGTTTGGAACTGTCAAGTTTGAGCGCTCTCGACTCTCAGCTCGGACAGCTAGGCCGGCTCGATGAAAAGCATTGGCATTTACTGTAGATTTTATACCCAACCCCAAACTGTCTCCCGAACTGACTCCACCTCCTTCAAAGTATGGATTTGAAGAGTCTATGGTCACGCCTATTACTTTTGGTGCTGCCAGTCCTGATGTGCGGCCAATTTGACTTCGTCCACTAGAATCAGATTTTTCATTTTCGTCACTTTCATTTTCCCCCAATTCAAACTGAGCTGCATTTTCATCGTCATCCAGAACCTTCGCATAGCCAATAGGGCCTCGGGACCCAAAATATTTGCAACCGTAGTACAGAAATCCACGACCGTTTTTTCTAGTGGAGGCATATCGCCTATTCCGATGTAGAAAGCGATAGAGACGCGTTCTTCGATCTTGTTTTCTAAATATGTATCCAAAAAAGCTGATTAGTAGTAAGAAGAATAAGAAGCCAGGCGTGAATCGAAACTGAGCTTGCTCAGCTAACTCTTCAGCAGCTTCTGTCCATGAATCTTCTTCGCTACTGGCAAGAATGGGGTATATATTTGATCCGGCTTCTTGGAATGCTTCAGGACTTCCGAGGTTGGGACCAAAACCGACAGGAAGCGCTCTTTTGTCAGAGGGTGGGATTTGGCCAGCGGCATATAAGACCATCTTGCCCAGGGTCCAAGAGACTTCCATATTTCCCACCTCGTTAATAGCCTGGAAGGAATCTAGAGATATACGGGGCTTAGCTTGACTGACAATATCCTTGGTACTATTTGAGGCCCTGACAGGTTTTTCTGCTGCAGTTCGAGGCACACCGATACCATCATGTAGAACGCTTATGAGCCAAGAAGCTTTGAAGCAAATCTGCTGGGCTACTTTGGAGTCTACATTTTTCCCCCATTTATTTGCCTTGACATTTTGATGTATATCATGCCATTCTTCGCTACAAAAATCTTTGACTCTCTTCTTGTATGTCATTAAGTCGTATTTCTTGTCTTTAAAAATTGACGCAAATACTTCGTGGGTTGTATACCAGTATTCGGAGACACCCACAAAATGATTAATATTCCAATCGATTTCCGGTACGTGTTGTCCATGAAGTAAGCATGGCTGGTCAGTACATGGAGCGTCCTTGTCGAGTAGAGGGTAAGTCTTTCGAAGGCATTCATCAAATAATCCGGTGCCCAAAAGTAGGGTGCCGTGATAATTGTCATCAGGTAGTTTACCATCCATTGTAGTTTTTAATCCCGATGGTAGACAAGGATCTAAGAGTTCATGGGGATCCTTTGTGTATGATGCATCCATCAGTGATGAAACATATCGTTCTCTCGCCTGGTTAACTCCAAAGCCTAGCCAAGTAGTGGTGAACACTTTGTATTCGATTGTATCACCATTGAGAGTTCGCATCCGAACCAACTTAAGGTCATTTGCGTGCTTTTCAGTCTCGGTGGCATTGGGCGCGAAAGCTAATTGAGCTGATGCCCCCCCCATGTCTAGAAATCCATATGTGTGGGGCTTTGTAATTGCCGTGGGATTAGGTGATTGGAAACCTTTTAACAGGTAATTGGCAGCGATCCAACCATAGAGTCCTTCCGTTTCTCCTGGAATAACCTGGATATGTAAATTGCAGTCTGGTAAGGAAAATTCGGTATGCTTCTGGGCATACGAGCAGATCTCACTTAGCAGTGCATTTTGCTTGGTTGGCTCGAGCAGTCTTACTCCGGCTGTCGCCATGAGGAATATGGGCGTGTCCCTGATTTGATTTGCCGGTACAATCGCCAAAGCGTGATCAAGCAATTCCTGAAGGTGTTGAGGGCCGACCTTTGAAGGTATTTCTGCATACGCAGATACTCCAGGATGTATCTTTTTTGTATACGATGGCTTCGTTTCTAAGTCTGGTAAGTTAAATAGTTCGACTCCTCTGGCATTTTGTCTTGCTCGAGCTGAATTAAGCCATCGGTATACATGAACCCGCGTTCCCGACGAGCCCGCGTCTAGAATTACACCCCATCGCCCTACACGTAAATTAGCTTTTGAATGTTTTCTGTACTAATTTAATGCTGTAGTTGCCTACATTTACCCATGAGTAATAAAGCGGTATGGCTGCAGTATCTGTCTCAGAACGTTGACTACTTTCTGTTACCTGCGGCACCAGAATTGAAGGCTATATGTTCAGAATTGTAGACATGAGACGTTTGTTACGACTATGAAACGAGCGTAAAAGAATAAAAATGAGCCCAACGATCGAAGGCACTTTTTCATACAACGATTGGAATTTGCAAATTGCGGAAGTAAAAATGAGGAAAGTTGCCGGAAATGTATTACTTAAATAATAGATTACAGGGTAGAGATGAGTGGTACGTCTATATCTGTTGTGACAGTTCAAGATTGGGAGGGGCTCGTCATCAAATCAAATCCCTTTCCGGCAGGCTTCCGCGCTTAGGTAAGCAGGAATTCTTGTCAACAAACCTAAGACTCCCCACACCCCGACTGGTGGCAGCGACAAGGTTGTATGACTCGGTCACCAATCACACAACAGCTCGGTGTGTTGAGGGTAGCCTTAGTAGATTTAGTGGCAGCTCAATAACAAAGTTGACTTTCTAGTCACATATGATCCAATACTATGCTGTAGCAGTACATGTTATGTGCTCTTCAGTCGTAGACAAGATTAACGTTTATTCTCCGTCTCCTACCGCAAATTCCTCATTTAGAGCAAGTTAACAAGCCGTCCCATGTCTCGAGGCCAACCATCGAGTATTGCGTCGACAGAGTCAATGATCGATTGCTAATCTCTACTATTTAAAGTGTGGCTTGGGAGTCTCAGACAAGGGAGACGTGTTAAAGCAGTACCGCGCATAGGGGGAATATATCATGAAGACAGTTGACGAATCTTAAGCAAATGCGAAGGACGAGTCCGCCCTTATTCCTAGCACGAGGATAATCTTGGCCTACCAGGAAGTTTAGCTCGACAGACTAGCATTATTTTGGTTTTCCCGAGTTTCTTGGTGATATTAGAAAGAATTCTGGGGTATTCGGCTTAATGACAAGGATAGATAATGTTGTAGTGGTATCTACATGCACTCACTTGACTACCTTTTAACGAATCCATGGGCACATAAAAACCTACCTGGAAATATTCCCCCCCAACGGAATAGTAAGTGAAACTCATGTTAGATGGATGCCGTCAAGTGGGCAAATGTGAGGGTTTGCTAACCGACATATAGAAATAATTTGACTGCAATCAGAGAGGTTCTTTGAGTTCTTTGTAGCCGTAGATTGAGAAGAGACAGTAAAAATTATGCACCACATAGAGCGATTCAGGTCCACGGTTTGGATAGCAGGTTAGTGCCAGCCCTATTCAAATCGAATTTAATAGCCTCAGGCACCAATCAGCGATCATGCAGATAATTTTGCTTGCATTAGTCTTGTCATCGACATCATCATACTTGCAGCGAGTATGAATCAGAAATTGACAATCCGCTTCCAGCAACCACTCCAAATTCCAGTGGCGTTCTTTTCTCCTACAACGCGATGATACCACTCTATGTTTCACTGTGATGTAAGATCGTATTTACAGTCCACCAATGACATCTTAGAAGCTATTATCTGTATTGCGGGACATCGAGCGGGGCGAACTCGGCATTTTAAGGTTTGTTCACTAGAATTTGCCGCCAAAATTTTTAGTCCGATCCTTGACGACCATAACAATTTTGAGCTATATTTACTTTGACAAAATATCACAGCCAGACTTCGACGTTGGCACTCTTATTACCGCCTAACAGTCTTGGTGGTAACAGAAAAGTAGTTATTAACCTCTCAACTTGTCAAAAAGTATAGAGATCTGTATTCATGGAACTTCACTCTAATCAAGACAATTATGAACTTTCTTTGACATGAAAGACCTTGCCGGGTTTGACAAAATAGCAACAAGCCTAAAGACTAATCCTTTGGAAATCTAACGATTGCCGAAATTTGCGTCTTCCTTTCCGGTCTCGAGAATACAAGACAGCCAACACTCCAAAGAGAAGAATAATCAATAGACTCCTGCTCTAAACATAAAGTCCTGGATTCCATGCAATACATAGAACCTCAGCTAACGCATGATTATTTTTGGTTCAAAGGCTACGGAATTCTGCAACTTACTCAAAGTCCAAAGATGCTTTCAAAGTCTCAAGAACTGAAGAGTAGCATCTGAATAGAAGCCAAGATATTTTTTATCTTATTGTCTTTATGATCAATAAGAATGCTCATAACTTGGAACCACTTAGGCATTGATATCCCTCAGCTAAATTTCTCAATTGCCTACAATTTTAGTAAATATAAGTATTAATACTCGTCCTTTATCACTTACAGTCTCATAATTTGTTTTGATTATTTTATTGACGGTTGATACCGAGGACGAAGGCTGAACACTTTTCAATGGTATCAACTACGGATATAGAAGTGATATTTTCTCCCAGAGCCAAAATTTAGTTACGATGGAGTAAATTTGAGAATAACCACAGAGAGGGGGTTCAGGAGGGGTGGCTATGGCAAATTTTTGATGAAAATCCGAGCTGCAGAGATTTCGCGACCGCACAACCCAGTGAATACAATCATCTAGACCCCAAATATGAGCATCTGACAGGTTTAATCCTATCTGGTGTTCGTAATAAAATAACTCATAATATTCACCTTCACAAAATTTACTGGAAGTGACGCGGGATCAATTGATGATGGCAGACACCACAGCAATTTCGAAAGTTCAACGAGTTAATTACTCTAATCCACCAAAAGAAATCTGAATTGTTACTCTTCTTTCTTTTATTTATCATAACTTGTTTTCAGCTATCTAGCTATGACACATGACCGGTCCTAAAAGTCCTGAATATTCGTGAGAGAATTGATTAGATACCCCACTACCATCACCGTTCCCTTCCGACTCACATACATTTACACTAATCCAAATTCTCTCAGTAGCAAGAATCCGGATCTCCAACCTGTCTCAGGGGCCTGCCAAATCATCGCGACCTATTCGCCTTCAAAGAACCATTGATAGAGCGAAAACCAGGCTAGAAAAGCGCTCGGAAAAAAAGAACATACTATTAAGCTCGATAGACGGGCGAAAAATGGAGCTGAACATGACCGAAAGGATAAGAGCCTTCGAAGAAGACTCTAACTCTACTAACCCCGATGTCGAAATGGGTGATGCGGTTATTGACCGATATATCATAGAGGGACTTAAGAGCTCACAATGGAATATAAATGAACCCAAAGACGGTCAGGTCTCAGAGGCCCCCGTTATTACAGTCACGAGAAAGATTGCTGTGCCGGCCATAAAGCGGATAGCTAATGTTAACTTCAAAAAAGCCGACGAAGTCGCACCCACCACAACACCTCAGAATACCATTCCGGGGACAAGTGGAAACAATCAATCTTCTTGCAGCGATAGTAGCTCCAAGAACACTGCGACTTTTCCTCCCGAGCTTCGAGCCATACTTGAAGCCGAAGAACAGCGGGCGGCCCAGACCGCATTTTAATTACAACATGCACCGCTGCCATCAACGATGTGGAGAATGCACTCGCACCTCTATCTGAAGGGCCGAGTGTTCAATTTATAGACTCCATGAAAGTCTACCTTAGAGCTGCAGTAGCTCAATTCATGTTGTCGGGACCAGGAACAGTCCTTCTCAACCTCCCCCACGACCAAATTGCCAGAATCAAGGCGGAAAGATCGTGGAAAAATCAATAAAAAAGCAGCCAGAGCAGCTACAAAAAGAGAACCAGGCGAGGATAACTTCGGTCAAGCCTACCTGGGCAACAGTTACCCGAACTGGCCTCCACATACCGGCAGCACCTGTGAAAGGTGTGCGGGTCCATAACGAACCCTCGGCACCAACGAGACCTCTAGCAAAGGCTCCGAAAACTGCCCCCAAAGATAATCGTCTATTTCTTCGACTCGGAAAAGAACATGCTTGGCGCGTTCTTTCGCCGGCCGGTGTGCGAGATGCGGCAGCAAAAGTGCTCGAGCTTCCCCCGCAGAATATTGAACATGTATACCGTGTTCCGACTGGCTTCGCACTTCGAGCCAAAAACCAGGAGATACGACAGCTTCTTCTGGACTCTGCTGAGTCTTTCGTCCAGGTAGACGCAATCCTGGATAAGGCCTCAGATTTGGTGTCTCTTCATATTGCGACAATTCCCGTCGCAATTCACACACTCCTAGGCAAAGTAGTTGTCACCGACGAGATGGTAGCAGATGAAATCCTCCGAGTCACTAAAAAGGTTTCGGTAAGGGTTCGACGTCATGGAAAAGGGAGAGTCGGAGCACCCTACCAGACATGGGTAGCTCATTTCGAAAGAGCGTCCGTTCCCAGACCAGGCTTCCGATTGTTCGACGACTCGGGAATCGCTGTTCGCCATCAGCCACGCCAAACTGTGAGCCAATGCAAGCGATGTCTCCTATACCACGGGACCCAGAGTTGCTCGCGCGCCCCAGTGTGCTGGAACTGCACCTCAACAATGCATTCCACTTCGGAATGCCAAGGACACACCAAGTGCCGCAATTGCGGGGGTCCTCACAGATCAGATAGCCGAAAATGTCTGGCCCGCCCTAATAAGTCCGGAATGGCTTCTAGGGAAACCCTCGAAAGAATCAGGAATGCTAGCCAACGCGAATATGCCGCGGTGATCCGAGCAAAAACTGCCGTTCGACGAGCGGAGGCCGACATCAAAGCCGCCACTGAATTAGCCAA